AAAAAAAAAAAAAAAAAAAAAGAACAGTGTGGTGAAGAAGAGTGTGGCTGTCTGGGTGTCTCCCAGCTCTACCCTTTATTTGCTGTGTGGCCTCCAGCAAGTTTCCTAACCTCCCCAAACCTGAAGTTACCCCATCTACAAATCTTACCTAACTCAAAACCTGAAGTTACCCCCCAAAATCTTACCTAACTCATAAATTGTCCTAATGATTGAGTTAGTCTACAGAAAGCAATAAGCACATATATGAGGGACTCATATAGGTAAATCTTTGCTGGTGGAGGGAAATCATAATAAATCCCAAAGCCAATTTATACACATTTAAGGCAGTACTAGTGGCCATCTGCTGAGTACCAGGCTCTGACTAGAGAGCTCTGGCAGATGCAGAAATAAGGCAGGCATGGCCACATTACCAGGCAGAAGGCCCTGAAAGAGGCATGTATGTGATGCCCAGGGACTCTGAGGAAATAGAGAGCACTTCTAACTGAGGTCTCCAGGAAGGCTTCCCAGAGAAAGTGGCTTCTAGCTGGGTCTTGAACAATCAGCAGGGTTATTACGGCAGAAACCCAGACCAAAATTCATTAAAGACTTAGAGATAAAATTGATGGGAGATTAAGAAGGCCAACTGGTCAGAAGATTGTAGAAGGCATTGTAGAGAAAATTCAGGGGCTGAGACTCCTGCAGATAATGGGGACTGATTCAGGGATTTAACAATAGAGTGAGACATGCAGGTCTATGTCTCAGGCAGGTCTCTCTGGGATAGCCTGGGGAGCACAGGGAGAGGGGGACACAGGGTGGCCAATTGGAACAGTCTGAGAGAGAGAAGATGGGGCTTTGGCAAAGCAAGGTTAGTGAAGTCCAAGAGGAGGGATGTGATGTTGAGAACTTTGGGGGAGGGAGGCTGTGCTCCTGGGACCAAGCAGCCAAAGTGTGGGCAGAGGGGCGGACGTTCTTCCTCACTCTGTTTCAGCCAGCGCCCTACAGCCCACTGCACTGCCCTTTCCAGGTAGGTGCCCTACCCTTCCCTTCCTCACCCTCACCTGCCCTCCCAGGTGCTCCAGCTGCTCAGACAGAAGACCTCAGGGAGAATGCCTAACTCGCCCTCCGTGACTCTAAATGCCCCCACTCAGAGGGACTGCTACAGTCTCCCCATTTTACAGAAGGGATGATCCCAAGGCTCCCATGGCTTCATGGCAAAGTGGGCATCCCATAGGTTTGGGCCCCGCCATCCCCCTGGTGTCAGCTCAACCCTCTTCACAGAGCTGAGGCTGGTGGGGGGCCCAAGCCGCTGCCGAGGGCGCCTGGAGGTCCTGCATGGAGGCTCCTGGGGCAGCGTCTGCGATGATGACTGGGACGTGGTAGATGCAAATGTGGTGTGTCGTCAGCTGGGCTGCGGTCTGGCACTGCCCGTGCCACAGCCCCTCGCCTTTGGCCAGGGCCGAGGCCCCATCCTACTGGACAACGTGGAGTGCCGTGGGCAGGAAGCTGCACTAAGCGAGTGTGGCAGCCGGGGCTGGGGTGTCCACAATTGCTTTCACTACGAGGATGTGGCCGTCCTGTGCGATGGTAAGCAGATGCTTTCCACCTAGAGAGAGGTAGCCTGTGGCAGGCTGCAGGACTGTCTGCTAGATAACCAAAGGGATTTCCTGGGGATAAGGTTCTATGCAGAAGACTGCCAGAGGCTGCATTGCCTGGTGCTGGGGAAGAGCTCCACCCTGGGTCACAGCAGTGCTCCTGGCTCATTAGGCAAAAAACCCAGCACCACTGCTTCCACACAGACCCTCAATTGTCCTGGCATAGCCCCCCTACCATTTTTAAAACTAGACAATTGGGGTCACACACATAAGCTCCACAGGTCATATAGTCCTGCAGCAGAAACTCTGAGATGTTCGGACCTTGAGAGCAGTGGTTCTAGTTTTTAAGAAAATTGCCCTGAGGGCTCATGAAAACAGTTGTGGTCCTATCCAAGTTTCTCTTTCTGCAGGTCTGGGATGGGACCTTAGAATTTGCATTTCTAACAGTTCCCAAGGGATGTCAACTGCTTTAAGAACTATGCTTCAGGCTCGGCGCCTGTGGCTCAAGTGGTTAAGGCACTAGCCACATACACCTAAGGTGGCGGGTTCTAATCCAGCCCGGGGCCCACCAAACAACAATGATGGCTGCAACCAAAAAAATAGCCAGGTGTTGTGGTGGGCGCCTGCGGTTCCAGCTACTTGGGAGGCGGAGGCAGGAGACTCGCTTGAGCCCAGGAGTTGGAGGTTGCTGTGAGTGATGCCACAGCACTCTACCCAGGGGGACAGCTTGAGACTCCCTCTCAAAAAAAAAAGAAAAACAAGAAAAACTATACTTCAGAGGAGTTCAGGACTCTGGTGGCCCCTTCTCTCATACTCCAGCATTCCTTGATGTGACCCTTTGTGTGGCCAGTGGCCCTGGGGGAGGACACCTTTGGATCCTATGCCCCTAACCCTCACATACCCTTTAGGTGTGAAGATGGAGAACAGAAATATCCCCATATCCTCCCTTCCATCTTGTTTCCTTCCCAGAATTCTTGCCCACACGGCCCCCGACTAGGAAGGTTTTAACCAGCAGAACGCCCCCTATGACTCCTCAGAATGTGAAAGGTAAGCAAGGTGTACCAACTGCACCCTACTCTAGGCAGTGGGAAGGGAAGGTAGGAAATGAAGGCTAGAGAAAGCGAGGGGGTGGAGGCTGGAGTTTAATCTTACTGGAGAGTCAGACCTGCACAAGAATGAGGAGGACAAGAAAATGAAAAATGTGCTACAAAGAAGTCTAGAGATGGAAGAGGGCTCCAAACCTCAAGAGATTGGAGGGCTTCATGGAGGAAGTTGTGAGAGCCACACTTTGAAAGGTGAGGTTTTCATCCGCACTGGTTGAAGAGGAAGCAGCATATCGTAGGCTGCTAGAAGAGAGGGACATGGGAACGGGGTGGTTTTAGGCAGGGGGGATCCCACACATCACTGCTAATCTGGACTGAGGAGGCAGCAGTGCCCTGGGGCAGGGTGGCAAGGAGGTGCTCCTGGTCTCAGTTCCTGGGGCACCCAGCACGGCGTATGTGCTGCACTAGGGAAACAGAGGGTGGGCGGTGGGAGACGCACACTCTCCGGGGAGGCCCTGTGGGAGACGCGCCTGCCCTGGTCACCAGGTGAGGGCAGCGTGCGCCTGGTGGGGGGCGCGAACCCATGTCAGGGCCGTGTGGAGATCTTGCACGGCAGCCTGTGGGGCACCGTTTGCGACGACGACTGGGGGCTGCCGGATGCCGCAGTGGTCTGCCGTCAGCTGGGCTGCGGAGCGGCCTTGGCCGCTACTACCAACGCGTTCTTCGGCTTTGGCACCGGGCACATCCTGTTGGACAACGTGCACTGCGAGGGCAGCGAGCCCCACCTGGCAGCCTGCCTGAGCCTGGGATGGGGTGTGCACAACTGCGGCCACCACGAGGACGCAGGCGTGCTCTGCGCAGGTGCGGGCTCTGGGGGCGGGGCCAGAGAGCAGGGCGGGCAATAGAAAGCACGTTGAGGCCCGGCTGAGTGTTTTGGCTTTCTCTGTGCTTCCCAGAACGCTCCTGGAAGGCTCCACTATTTCTTATAATATCTCAGTACTGCTCTAGAAGTGTCTCAGAATATCCCAGCACTCCTTGTGGTGCGCTTCACAGCTATGTAACAACATTGCAGTATTGTGCCACCTTCAGAATTATATAGCAATACCGTAGGAATGTCTCCAAAAATTTTCAAGCATTCTTAGTATTTCAGAGTATTTCAGAATGAAATTACATTCAGCTCCATGCCTGTGGCTCAAGTGGCTAAGGCGCCAGCCACATACACCTAAGGTGGCGGGTTCGAATCCAGCCTGGGCCCGCCAAACAACGATGATGGTTGCAACCAAAAAAAAAAAATTAAATGGCCAGGCATTGTGGTGGGCGCCTGTCTCAGCTACTTGGGAGGCTGAGGCAGGAGACTCGCTTGAGCCCAGGAGTCGGAGGTTGCTGTGAGCTGTGATGCGACTGCACTCTATACAGGGGGACAGCTTGAGGCTGTCTCAAAAAAAAAAAAGTGAATTAAATAACATTCTAGAATTGCCTGAGAAATCGACCAGTGTTCTCTAAATGTGGCAGAATTACCCAGCCCAGGCCTCTGTAATCCTAATGCTCTAATAATAGTATTTTCTTCCCACCTAGGTCCTCTCCAATTTCGGAAGTTTTCTTAGCAAATAGAAATAATAGAGCCAATACCATCATTTCACAAATGAACTCCACTCTACGAGATAAAGTGCTTGCCCATGTCTCCTAACTCACAACGAAACAAGGGCTATCATTCCCAGTTTACAGGTGGGGAAACTGAGGCCCTGAAAGGCAGAACCATGGCTAACCTTACTGTACAGCCTTGAGTGTACCCCTTGTCCTTTCTAGGCCTATTTTATCTTTACAAGAGGATGAGTCTTGGGCAGCACCTGTGGCTCAGTGTGTAGAGCGCTAGCCCCATATAACAAGATTGGTAGGTTTGAGCCCTGCCACGGCCAAACTGCAACAACAACAACAGCAACAAAATAGCCGGTGTTCTGGTGGGCGCCTGTAGTCCCAGCTACTGGGAGGCTGAGGCAAGAGAATCGCCTAAGCCCATGAGCTGGAGGTTGTGGTGAGCTGTGATGCCACAGCACTCTACCAAAGGCAACAAAGTGAAAAAAAAGTAAAGAAAAAGTAAAAAAGTAAAGTAAAATAAAAAAGAGGATGAGTCTTGTTTTATAAGACCCTCAGCACTGTGCATGGCCCTCGCTGATGGGAAAGCCTTCTGTACCTCTGTGTCATGGACACAATGGGCTTCTGAGAACATTGAATGTTGAAGAGAAATGAAAGTATGTCTGTGAGAGCCCTGTATAAACTATAAAGTGTACAACTGTGCAGTAAATCACAACCATTATCAAAGTGGGGCAGGGCTACTTAGACTCTAGCTGGGGCTGAGCCCCTGTCCCAGAAATGAATGTCTCTTCTCCAGGCAGACCCTCTTATCCTCCCCAGACAGCTCATGACTGACTGAGAACCAGAACCTCAGCCTCTAACCCTGTCCCCTTCTCTCCTTCTCTAGCCCTGGGTCCCCCAACTCTCACAGCACTGCCACCCTCAGCCACAAGAGAGGACTGGGCCTGGCACTCAGAGCCAGCAGGTAAAGAGCCTGACCCTCCAGTTTGGTTTGGTAGAGGCAAGGTGTGTGTGGCGGGGCACTGGAGAGGTTGCCCTGGTCCACAGGAGAGGACCCTAAGAGACCAGGGCACCAACCAGCTGGTACAGAGGTGGGTGGAAGAACGAAACAAAGATGAAACCCAGAACTCTGAAAAGTTCACTAGGGTGAGAGGAGGTAGTCAGAGGTTTCTTCTGCAAAGTAATGAAGTAAAATTTGGGATGGTGCTGGTCAGGCACTGTGGCTCATACCTGTAATCCTAACACTCTGGGCGGCTAAGGTGGGAGGATTGCTTAAGGAGAGGAGTTTGAGGCTCAGCGCCTATAGCTCAGCAATTAGGGTGTGGGCCACATACACTGGGGCTGGTGGGTTTGAATCTAGCCCAGGCCTGCCAAACAACGACAACTATAACAACAACAATTAAAAAAAAAAAAAAGCCACGCATTGTGGCAGGCAACTGTACTCCCAGCTACTTGGGAGGCTGAGACGAGAATTGCTTAAGCCCAAGTGTTTGAGGTTGCTGTGAGCTGTGACGCCACAGCACTCTACCGAGAGCAACATAATGAGACTCTGTTTCAAAAGAAAAGGAGAGGAGTTTGAGACCAGTCTGACCAAAGCAAGATCCTGTCTCTAATAAAAAAGAAAAAAGAAAGAAAGAAAAACTTAGCTGGGCATGGTGGCACCTGCCTGTAGTCCCAGCTACTTGAGAAGCTGGGCAAGGAGGATCACTTGAGCTCAGGAGTTAGAAGATGCTGTGAGCTAGGCTGAGGCCATGGCACTCTAGCCATGTGGAGACACAGTGAGATTCTGTCTAAAAGAAAAAAAAAATTGAGACGGAGAACTGAGAGGCCTTTTAAGGGGTTGATTGTGGTGAAGGTTAAATTAGGCTACAAGTACCTTTGAAATTAGGGCTGGGACCTATCGCTGGGATTGACATTAGGATAATGCCTGGAATTAAGACTCGGTTCAGGCTTGGCGCCTGTGGCTCAAGTGGCTAAGGCGCCAGCCACATACACCTAAGGTGGCAGATTCGAATCCAGCCCGGGCGCGCCAAACACCAATAATGGCTACAACCAAAAAAATAGCCGGGCGTTGTGGTGGGCGCCTGTGGTCCCAGCTACTTGGGAGGCTGAAGCAGTAGACTCGCTTGAGCCCAGGAGTTGGAGGTTGCTGTAAGCAGTGATGCCACGGCACTCTACCCAGGGGGGCAGCTTGAGGCTCTGTCTCAAAAAAAAAAAAAAAAAAAAAGATTCGGTTCATTCAAGTCTCCTGGAGATCCCAACGTGGTGACGACTCTGGGATTGCAGCTGACTGTGGGCGCAGATTGGGTACAGTTGAGGTCTCTCAGTAGGCGCCCCTGCGCCCAGCTGTTGTCTCCCCAAACGCTCTGGATACTCTGTCTCCGCAGCTACAAGAGTTGGCGCCCACCCTTCCCGGGAGACTGCAGTGCTCACCACAGTCACCTGGGCGGCGGGAAAGAAAAGTAAGTGGTAATGCCGCGGGACTTTCTGGGGGGTAGGAGGGGGTGGGAGAGGGTGGGGCCGGGTCTCTGCCTGGAAGCCAGCCGTCCCAACGCCGCCCCTCTGGCCGCTGGCTTGTGTGCACCACAGGTGGGCGGCTGCGGCTGGTGGGCGGCCCGGGTCCATGCCGTGGCCGCGTGGAGGTACTGCACGCCGGGGGCTGGGGCACCGTGTGCGACGATGACTGGGACTTCGCGGACGCGCGCGTGGCGTGCCGCGAAGCGGGTTGTGGGCCCGCGCTCGGCGCCACGGGCCTCGGCCACTTCGGCTATGGTCGCGGCCCTGTGCTTCTGGACAACGTGGGCTGTGCTGGTACCGAGGCCCGCCTCAGCGACTGCTTCCACCTGGGCTGGGGCCAGCACAACTGCGGCCACCACGAGGACGCGGGCGCGCTCTGCGCAGGTGGGGTCGCTGCGGGGGAGCGCGCACTGTGAGGGGGCGGGGCCGCGCGGGCGGGCGCTCTGCGGCACTGAGGCGGGAGCGCGCTCCGGGGAGCACCCTCATTGCGCACGGGGGCGCCCGACTGCTGATGCTGTCTGCGGCTGCGCGGCAGGGCGGGGCCGGAAGGGCGTGCCTTCTGCAGAGGAGAGTGGGCGGGACCTGGGGAAGTGGGGAAGTGTTGATCTGCTGCGGCTAAGGCTAGGTCTGAGGTGCGGACACGCCCTGCTGGGTAAAGAGAAGTTTGAGATGACCTCTGTAGAGGGCCCGGCAAAGTTCCAAGCAGAGAGAAGGGATAAACCTTCCCAGAGCTAGTGTGTGACCTTTGAAAGGAGTCAAAGAAAGGGATGTTTGCCATCTGGCAGGACAATGTAAAATGTTAAATGGTTCTGTCTACTGATTGCTGTGGAAATTGATATTTCACCCTTATTTGGTGCCCCAGGCCTAGAAGGCCCTCCCATAGTTTAGTCCACAGACGGCTACACAAGGCTTTGGTTTGGGCCCTAGGGTCAAAGAAGCACAACCCCATTTCAGATACAAGGGGCAGGGAGCAGTTCTTATGGATCCTGCGGAGTCCTTTCTGTCCTTGGAACAGGCTTCCCTGGGGAAGGTAGGATGCCAATCTGGCCATAACAGGATGTTCCCCAATGTGACAGCCTCTTCTTTTTCTCTGTCCTCGTTGAACCAGGCCCAGAAGAGCTGGGACTGCAAGCCCAGCAAGATGGTTCTGAGACCACCCGAGTGTCCACTCCTCGGCCCAGGGATGGTAGGTGCCCAAAGCCCCCAGAAAGTGAGATGGAGACATCAGGATAGGAAGGACTTGGACTGGGGGAGTACACAACCTAGGATTTGAAGCCCAGCAGATTTACACATGGTCCCTGAACCCTTGTCCTTTTGTACAGGTCTCAGACCTCATTAATAGGCATATGGTGTCCAGAAAGAAGGAGGTAGGCTTTAAAATAGAGCAGTCTAGAGATTTCTAGAGTGGCATCAAAATGAGGAGATGAGGATCCCGGTCTGAGGAATGCAATGAAATAATTCAGAATTTATCTCAGAAAGTCTCGGGGAAGATGACAATGACCTTCAGGGTACACGTAGGATATAATCACAGTCTCCAACAACTGGGCCAGGGTTGAGGTACTAGAATTATGAGCAGAGGACCAGGGAGAGAGCAGACATGAAGCACTCAGCACACCACACGGTTTGCACTCTTTTTTCCAGTCCTGAGAAAATATAGTCTGGACTGAAACCCATCCTATTCTAATCTCATTTGTCTGCCCTCCTCCAGTGGCTCCCAGGGCAGTGCTGTGTCTCAGACCATCACCCTTTGCCTCCTTTTTTCCGACCCCTGACCTGGCCTAGCTGGGGATGGTCTGCCATGGACCAGCCCCTTTAGCTCCAGGCCTTGCCTCCCCCCAACAGGGCACCTACGCCTGGCAAATGGAGCCCATCGATGTGAGGGTCGTGTAGAGCTCTTCTTAGGGCAACGATGGGGCACTGTCTGCGATGATGCTTGGGATCTGCGGGCAGCTGGTGTCCTGTGCAAACAGCTGGGCTGTGGCCGGGCCCTGGCAGCCCCTGGCGAGGCCCACTTTGGCCCAGGCCAAGGTCCTATCCTTCTGGACAACGTTAAGTGCCGTGGTGACGAGAGTACTTTATTGCTCTGCTCTCATATTCGCTGGGATGCCCACAACTGTGACCACAGCGAAGATGCCAGTGTCCTGTGCCGGCCATCATGACCCAGCCTACTGTGCAGACCACTTCTTTTTTGGGAGCCTACTGTGACCTGCTCTTCCTCCTGGTGTGACTACTGCAGCTCACTTTGCCCCTCCCTCCCCTTGCCTGGGAGAGAGCCTGCCCAGTGTAGTCCTGTGTGGGATAGCCTGGCTGTATCCCCTTCGACCTATTGTGTGACCTCAGCCTGTCATCAGCTATCCTGGGCCCAATTCAATGAAAGCTCCCATGTTTTACTACACCAAAACAACAATGCGGGGAAGGAAAAATGACTTGTAACTCTTCTCTTTGTTGGGGGCTCCTGTTACAGCAGCCCTGACACTGCCTTCCTTGACCCAGTCCCAGGAGGCTCAGGGGCTCTTTGTAAATGGAGTATCTCCCTTGCCCTAGCTCATCTTGGGATCCCCAAGAAAGAAGGCAGGAGGGGATTACAACTTTTACCTTAGGCTCCCAGGAGCTGCAGAAAAACCTAGGTCATTTCCTTGCCTTGCTCCAAGAAGGCCTGGTCTCAGATGGTGCTCGGCTGGACAAGGGGACTGGAGGGGCCAAAGCAGGGACAGTGGCCCCTCCTTGTACCTAGAACCAGCATCTCTGATTTAAGATGCCCCTACCACAGAGCCTCCACTTTGCAATAGCAAAGAACCCTGGGGGTCTGTACCCACCCATTCATAGGTGCCAACTCAATAAAGCATTGCCCCCCCCCACCCGTCTTGTAACTGAAGTCAGTGTTTGGGCATAAGTGCATTCTGTGTGGCAGCAAGAGTGGCTTGCTGGAAGAAAGTGGCTTAGGGTGGAGGGCAATCCAAGAGCATCATCTGAGAGCTCTCAGCAGGCCCATCACACCCTGGAAATGCTGCCTCACAGTGTCAGGCCTCCAAGGCCCCCAGAGAGTCCCCTAACCCATCTCTTTCCTTCACATATACAGAAATCTAGATCAAGCAAAAGGAAGGGGTTTGCTGAAGGTCACATAGCAAGGTGTTTGTGTCACTAGAAGAGAAAAAATTATGGAGAGGAGGCAGAAAGGGAGATGAGGGAGAACATACCAGCAGTAGGGTGGCCCTAGAGCTGCTCTTGGGGCCCCTTGCGTGTGTTCTGCCTCTGCCTCTGTCCCCCCCAGAAGTGGAGGATCCTACTGGAATCTTCCTCTCAGCCTGAGGCTGGGTGACTTGCTAGTGTTAAATGTCCAGTGTCAAGCTTCCTGTTACTGCTGTAACAAATTACAACTTAAAACCACACACATTTGTTATTTTACAGTTAAGGTCACATGTTAGAAATGGGTCTCGGCTCGGCGCCTATAGCTCAACCGGCTAAGGCGCCAGCCACG